CCTTCCACTGTCTGTCATTCTTGCTGGTGCCAGGTGCTCTGTCCAGGAGTACATTCCTTCTCCTAGGCTCTGTAACAAGTGCTGGAGGTTTGGGCATGGTGCCCTCCACTGCTCTGGGACTGTCTCTCTCTGTCCTTTGTGTGGGGGAGAAGGTCACTCTAAGTCGGAGTGCACTTCTCCCCAGGTTCGCTGCCTCAACTGCGGTGAGACCCATCCTACCTTCTCCCGTGCGTGTATCCATTATAAGCTTGAGGCAGCCGTCCTCACCTTGAAGCACCGGGAGCGTTTATCTTTTCCTGAGGCGAGGCGCCAGGTTCGCTGGCTCCCGTCTTATGCTAGTGTCTCTTATGCTCGCGTGTTGCGCTCTTCCTCTCCTCGTCCTTCCCACCTTCCTCGAACCCACAACCGTTTCCGGGCCTTGGACCCTGATACGCTCACTGTCCCCTCCTCTGTTCCTTTGAGTTCTGTCCCGAAGGATCCCCCTCCTGGTCCTCTGTCTGGGATTCCCCTTCTTTCTACCCGGTCTGTCATGTCTCCTGTGTCTTCTTCCTCGTCTTCCTCCGATCCTCCTTCCCATCCTTCTCCTCCATCTACTGACTCTCCCCGCCGCCTGTCGGTGCGGGCTGATGTCCATCGCTCTCCTAACGGCCGTCGTGTGTGCTCTCGTTCAGCTTCTCCTGTTGAGATGCTGGAATCCGTTGCCCGGTACGTAGTTGCTGGGACACCGGTCTCTCCAAGTCAGAAGCGTAAGCCTGGCTCCTCTCCTCTCCTCCTCCCCAGTGGGTAAAAAGGCTTCGCTTTCTTCCTCGCCCCCTACTTCTGACACTCTCGCTCCGTCCCCTCCCGTTTCGGTGGTTACGCCCCCTGTTCCTGCTATGGAGGTCTCTTTAGCCCCGCTTGGTGCCCTTGCTGAGGTGCGTCCCCTGGTTTCTGCCCCTCCTGCTGCTTTCCTTGACCCTCGGTTATCCCCCCTCTTCCTCCTCCAGACCCTACTCGTCCGCCTCTGGTTGGTCCTCTAGCTACCTTCCCTACTTTTTTACTCAGTTTACTCATGCCCCCTAATCCTGACTTTGCTGACCCTGACCCTGATCCTGCACTTCTTTAACGTGCTGTGTTCCCTTTTCACCTTTGTTTCTTCGTTGTTCTCTGTTGATGTCCTTCCTCTTCTCGTCGATATTTATTTTTCAATGGAACGTTCGAGGTTATTATGCCAATTTCCTCGAACTCCAGCTTATGATTTCGCGGTTTTTGCCCCTTTGTGTCTGTCTCCAGGAGCCAATGCTTGGTGCTCGTCCTGGTCGCTTTCGTGGCTATTCCTTTCTCTTCCCCCCCCCCCTGCTGTTGCTGGGGCTCCTAACTCTTCTGCTTTCTTGATTCGCTCGGATGTCTCCTTTGTCCAATTACTTTTTCCTTTGCCTCTACATTGTTCTGCTGCTTGTATCTTTTGAGGAAATGGTACACCGTTTGTTCCATTTATCTCCCCCCCCCGAGTGTCCTGCTTTCCCTTCCCGATCTGAAACACCTACTGGACTCCTTGCCGGAGCATGTGTTCCTGCTAGGTGATTTTAATTGTCGTCATTCCCTTTGGGGTGATGTTCTGACGAACACCCGAGGTCGCCTTCTTGAGCCATTCATCCTCTCTTCTTTCCTGTCTCTTTAGAATTCTGGTGAGCCCATGTATTTGGACTCTCGCACTCGCACCCTTTCCTGTCTTGATCTTTCTCTTTGTTCGTCCTCTGTTTACTTAGATTTCAAGTGGCAGGTTCTTGATGACCTCCATGGCAGTAACCATTTCCCCATACTTCTTACCTTTTTCTCTTTTCACCCTCCCCTCTCCTTCCCTAGGTGGCAGTTTGCTAAGGCAGACTGGAACCTATTTACCCTCAGTGCTGCTCTCTCTGACCTCTCCCTTCTGCCTCTCCCTCGCTCTCTCCTCCTTTTTCATGACACCATCTTCAACGCTGCCCTCCGCTCTATTCCTCGCTCTTCCTCTCAGGACCCACGGAAGTGCGTTCCCTGGTGGAATACAGACTGTGCTCGGGCTGTCCGCTGTAAGCGTGCAGCCTGGAAGAGACACCGCCGCCGGCAGACGGCCAATTCTTTTCTTTTCGTTCGGAAGGCAAGTGCGGTGGCCTGTAGGGCCATCTGTACGGCTAAACGTAATTGTTGGGCATCCTATGTCTCCACCATTACGTCCGAAACTCCTCTGCCACAGATCTGGAAGCGTATCCGCAAGATAGTGAGTAAGTTCATTCCCGATGTCTCACAGGTCCTTCACCTCAGTGGTACTCATGTGGCGGACCCGTTGCAGGTCACTACCGAACTGGGTTCCCACTTTTCTTCTGTTAGCTCTGGTTTTCATCTTCCCCAATCTTTCCTTCTTTGTAAACCTGTCCTTGAATCTTGTCCTTTGGATTTCTGTACTCATCTTCGCCTTCCCTATAACGATCCCTTCTCTCTCGCTGAACTTCGGTCTGCCCTGGCCCTCTGCGGTTCTACGGCGGCGGGCTCCGATGGCATTCATTATGAGATGCTTCGCTATCTCACTTCATGCATGTCTCAGTATTTACCGAGTCCATATAATCGGATCTGGGAGTCGTCATCAGTCCCTGAGGACTGGCTCGATGCCATTGACCTCCCTGTTCGCAAACCAGGGTCTCTGGGAACATCCCCTACGGACTTTCGCCCTATTGCCCTCACAAGTTGTATCTGCAAACTCTTTGAACGTATAGTTAACGTTTGTCTGATGTGGTTCTTGGAACACCATCACCTCTCCCTTTCTCAATTTGGTTTCCGCAAGTGCCGCAGCACAACAGATGTCCTGGTGAACTTGGAGGTCTATATTCGTACTGCTTTTGCTGCGAAGACCTCCGTTGTTGCCGTCCTTTTTGACCTGGAAAAGGCTTACGACATCACTTGGCGATATCATATTCTGTCCCAACATCATTCTTTTGGCCTTCAAGGGAATCTCCTTCTCTTTCTCCAAAGCTTCTTCTCTCATCGTTCCTATTGGGTGAGGCTTGGTACCGCTCTCTCTGCCTCTTTTCAGCAATACGAAGGTGTGCCCCAGGGTAGTGTTCTGAGCACTACTCTTTTTTTTTTTTCTGGTTGCCCTCAATGATCTTCTTTCCTCTCTTCCTTCAGGTGTCTTCTCCGCTCTCTATGTCGATGATCTTACCCTTTGCTGTCAGGGTGATGATTCGCCTCTCCTTCAACGCCGGCTTCAACTTGCGATTGATGCCGTGTCGTCTTGGGCCACCGATCATGGCTTCAAGTTCTCTACTACTAAGACTTGTGCCATGACTTTTACTCGGAAACGGATCGTTCTTCATCCCTCTTTGTCACTTTATGATCATCCCCTTGAGTACAAAGATTCCGCGAAGCTTTTGGAGTTATTCTTTGACACTCGTTTGTCTTGGTCTCCCCATATTTCTTACCTCCGTATTGAGTGCTCTAAGGCCCTTACCCTCCTTCTAGTATTGTCCCATACTTCTTGGGGAGTGGATAGGCGCACTCTCCTTGCTTTACATTCCTCTCTCATCCTGTCTAAGCTCAATTATGGTTGCCCTGCTTACTCGTCTGCTTCTCCTTCTACTCTTCGCTGTCCTGATGCTTTGCACCATACTGGGTTGCGCCTCACTTCTGGTGCCTTTCGTTCGACTCCCGTCCTCAGCTTGTATGTTGACACTGGCTTCCTGTCTCTCCTGGACCGCCGGGATCGCTACTGTCTTCACTATCTTATGCGGCCCTTGCAACATCCTTCCTCTCGCCTCTGTCGTGCTTTAACTTTTACCCCTCCTGCAGTTCCTGTTCCTCTTCACCACCTCCCTCTTTATCCAGTTATCTCGCTTACAGGACTCTCTTTCCGTTCGTATTTCTAATATTTCTCCTCCTGTTGTTCCTTCTTTGCCCCCGTGGAGAGTCCCCCTTCCACAGTTTTGTACATCCTTGACCCGCATCACTAAAGCTTTTACCCCTCCTACGGTTCTCAAACGCCTTTTCCTTGAGCACTTTTCTTCTCACTCCCGTTCCGTTTCCGTCTTCACCGATGGATCTAAGTCTGCAGGCAGTGTTGGCTACTCTGTTGTTTTTCCTGATTGCACCTATATGTGTCGCTCACCTCTGGAGACTAGCATCTTCACAGCGGAGCTTTAAGCTATTTTCTATGCTCTTCGTTTCCTGCTTTCTCGTTGTTAATCTTCCTTTGTAGTTGTTGTTGACTCTCATAGTGCCCTCATGGCTCTCAGGTCCTTTAATCTGGTTCATCCAGTGGTTGTTGAGATCCAGCATTGGCTGTTTCTTGTTCACAGTAAATTTAAGTCGGTTGAGTTTTGTTGGGTTCCCAGCCATATTGGTGTGTCTTTAAATGAGCGTGCGGATGCTGCTGCCAGGGAAGCTGTCCGCTCTTGTCCCATCTCTCGTAAAGGTATTCCTTATTCCGACTTTTACCCGGTTATCCATTCCTCCATCCTTACCCGTTGGCAGGCTTGTTGGTCGTCTGTTACTGGTAACAAACTACGTACTCTTAAGTTGTGTGTCCTTATGACTGTCCTCCTACCACCGTAACTGCCGATGGGAAACGGCTCTGGCGATGTTGCGTATTGGCCATACTCGCTTAACTCATGGTCACTTGATGGAGCGCCGCCCTGCTCCTTATTGTCCTATTTGCATTGTCCCTCTTATGGTCGTGCATATCCTTGTTGAATGTCCTGATTTCCGGGACGAGCGTGTGTCTTGTTTTTCGACCATTCCCCGCGGTCGCTTGTCTCTCGGTAGTATTCTTGGTGACTGGAATGCTTTTGATATCGTTTGCCTTATGCGTTTCTGTTCTCGTATTGGCATCCTTGGTGATATTTAGCGCCCTCTGATTATCCCGCACATTTGATGGTGCTACATAGCCTTCCCGGTTTGGTGCCTTCTTTTGATAATTACTTTCTTATAAGACAGCGGTAATTAACAATATTGTAGTGAAGTACATTGTGTATTGTTTCTCTCTGCAGCGAGACGATGGAGCGACTGATGCGGCTGGTAGTGGCTCAGGGCGAGACCATCCAGACGCAGCTGCGGCGCCTGCAGGAGAGGGAGCAGCAGATCGAGCAGTACGAGCAGCAGATGCACCTCCTCCGTGTCCAGAACCTTGGCACCGACTACCTCCTCCACTCCTACCTCAAGGACGACCAAGGCGAGGCCAAGGACGAGCCAAGCAGCGAGGAGAAGAGTAACGACTCGGGGGTAGTGACGGAGGAGGTGGTGGAGGGCAGCCAGAGTGTGGAGAGCGTGGCAGGCCTGGAGGACATCCAGGAGTTTGCCTCCATTTTGGCCAGGATGGAGGAAGTCAACATCCGGCTCCTGCACGAGGAGGAGACTCTGGCCAGCATGGCGACGAGCGTCAACGCTGCCTACGAGCAGCACAACGATGAGGCGGAGCTCCTGCAGCAGGAGCTGCTGTGCGTCTCCCATATCCACGCTCAGCTGGTGACGGACGCGCGGCAAAATGAACAGACCTTGCGCGAGACCGAGGCCATCCTATGGGAGCAACGGAAGCAACTCGAGTTGCTACTCAAGGAAGACACCGAGTCCGACCTGGAGACTCGCGCACTAAGACAGCATCTAGACTACATTATACACCTTCCTCCCTCTGCCTTCCAGCTCCCAGGTGCTGGAGATAGTCCCCCGCAGCCGGCCACAGCTGCCACCACTGCCAGAGTGCCGCCTGTAAGTACCTTAAAGAACAATAACACAGACCTTCCTCGGGTATCCACCACCAGACAAAGCAACCAAGTCACAGTAGAGGATAAGGATGCCCCACCTCCGCTGCCCTTGTGCCCGCCACCTCCGCTGCCCTCCTGCCCGCCACCCATCACAGAGGAGGACGAGGAAGATGATCGAGACTCAGCCAAAAACAGCAGCTTGTGCGTGAGCTCACGATCCAGCACGTCTTCCGAAGCCTCAGCCAACAGCATAAACACTACGACCTCCGCGACACCAGCGCCCAGTAAGGTCTTGTCCTCCTCCTCCTCCTCCTCCTCCTCTCACCCTCTAACATCCTCTAAGACTAATGAAGCAGGAGGCAAAGATACAGACTCAACGGACTCGAATTCAGACACAGGGTTGAGTTCGCTTCACAGTAGTAGTGATGAAGGCGTTTATGTGTTGGACACTCTTGTCTGAGGTGAAGCTAATTCAATAATTTTTTTATAAACAGTGGTGTCCGTTGAACATTTACAGATGGCATTTCTATGAACACATTCCTATAGTGCTGGGATATAAGTGGCAGTGGAACACTTTATTACAAACAATGCTGTGAAACTAGTAAGGTTGTTTGTGAAACAACTGAGTGTGATCTCATACTGTCGGGGGGCCCGAGACCCCCTCATACTGGAGAGTATAGAACTATGCAACCAGTGAACCAAATATGTATACTCAGTGAAATCGTTAATGCTGTGTTCATACCTTAATTATTAATTGAGATTTATATTACGAGAGATAGCGGGATAACAGTCCGCACATTACTGTATATTGTATATAGATGTTGAGTATGTGAGCTCCATGTGCTCAACCCGCACTCATTGTTATATATCACAAACAAATATTATTTTCTGTACTTCCGAGGTGCCTTTAGGGAGAAAGGGTCACCCCCAGCTCACTCTTGAAGCTTTATCATGGATTTTAAGGAACGGTGAATCTTGTGTATCTTTTGTCGTGATTTTCATTCATTTGGGAAACAGAAATTGAATGCTGGACTGCGGGTACCTGCGGGTACCTGCGGGTACCTGCGGGTGTATTCCACTTGTTGAAGGAGTACTGAGGAGGGTGGCGGCGGTGTTGGGCTCTCAATAATGTCCCGGGTCTCACTGCGTAGCACTCTGGTGGAGCAATGTCTTTACTTGATGTTTGGAGTCAAGTAATGTGCAAGTTCAGTGCTCTGTATAGGCTGCCGGTCTGGGTTATCTACCTTATCAGGGATTTTCAGTGAAGCCTCACATTATCTCAATAAATTAAAGGTTAATTAATATTTCGTCATCAGTTACTGAAGTATTTTCATGCTTGTGTTGATACGTAGAGACATGCAGCTGGCTAGGCTTATACACCCATAGCTTCAGATTACCTCCAACTTTGCTTTAGGAATGAAGAAAATATCGTTGAAGCCAATATTGACAGTTCTGTAAATCTACTGAAACAGATGTCAAGGCTGTGTGTGTGTGTGTGTGTGTGTGTGTGTGTGTGTGTGTGTGTGTGTGTGTGTGTGTGTGTGTGTGTGTGTGTGTGTGTGTGTGTGTGTGTGTGTGTAGTGTCAGCGCGTTTAGGACATCCCGTTTGGCAATGGTGGTTTTGGTCGCATCAGATGGTGATGTCATAGTTATTAGTCCACTGCAATGGATTTAGGTGCCTCAGTTACAATCTTAAGTTAACTGGGTGTTTCAACAGTTACTTGCGTCTCTCTCACACTCACCTTCATAGTCTGGAGGAAACCCGTAGTGTGTTTCAACCAGGTAATCAACCAGGTAACCTCCTGAAACGTGCTGCGGTATAGCCTTCCCGGCTTGGTGCCTTCTTTGATAATTATTTACTTCCTTCTGAAACTTGTTCCATTGCAACTTTTGCAACAGGTTATTCTATACGTTTGCTCCAGTACACAGGGAAGATCAAATTGTAGATGTGTTTTATTAAGGAATATATTTTGCTCGTCGTAAAATTAGGATAATAACGATGTATATAGACGGGTGGCCAGGACACCGCTGGTGTTGGCCGCCGCACTCCTTCCTGCTCTTTCACTGTTAACCAAGAGAATACTGTAGTCGTGATCCCGTACTACAGTGCATCAGTACGAGTGTTCTTGAGTGTTGTTATATGAGTATTAATGGCGGTTATCACGTCTAATTACAGAGCTGAATTTTTCAGTGTGGTTTGAGGGCTTCGCTGACGTCATTTTGTATTCTGAAATCCCGAGCATAAGTGTTACACATTATAACTTATACATTATAGACCTCTCAGAAAAGCTTTATGGCCATAAATATGTTACCTAACAAATGAATAATTACAAATTTATTCTGGGTGTTTTTTACTCTCAGGGTTGATGCCTTTTGAGTTATAATTATTGAAATATGGTAAATTGCAGAGGAAGTAGATAGTTGCGAATAGACGTTATATAAAGTTTTACGTCTTCCTGGAGCTGTAAACTGAGAACTCCATTAGGCCGAACAAATGACAGTCATACAATTCATTGATTTTCCACTCCAATACTACAAAAGCCTAGCGCTTTAGAAATGAACACTAATTCTAAATTGTTTATACTGCTATACCATATAATTTTTTTATGATTATTTTTATAAACTCAAATAAGTGTGTTTTGAGTCTCAGCTTTTAATGGAATCTTTAAAAAGGAGGACAGAAATAGCCAAAGTTACTCAATCCTTTTAGGATTTTTTTTATCTCAATAAACCTATTTGAACTTGGAATCGTTAAAAACTAAATGTTAGGCGTTTTTGCCCATTACTGAAGGTACATATGCCACATTATTATAACTGAAAATCAGCTCATTACACAAGAAATACACATTTAGATATGTGCTGTATGTATGTATGTATGTATGTATGTATGTATGTATGTATGTATGTATGTATGTATGTATGTATGTATGTATGTATGTACGTACTTCGCGCGGAACCTATTCTAGCGTGAATTCAACCCTTGTAACAGCAAATTGTAATTAATGTATTAATTAATGTAATTATTTAATGTGTTAATGTATTTTCTTTGTTGTGAAGCTATTACAAGTTAAATTTCAAACACTGGAGGGTTTTATATGATACAGAATTTATATGATACAGAAGAGTCTTATGTATTTGTGTAGTATATTTTGTGATCTTAAATAACGTGTTTCATTATATTTTGTTAATAAAAAGGAAGGGGGTGGTAGGAGAAAAGCACACATAAACTGTGTTGGAGGGGACCTACATTCCCTCCAATGCGTTACGTGTGGTTTCCTCCGAGGCTAAGGGTCCCCCTTCTTCCAGCCAGAGGTTTTGTTAATTGTATTGTGATCGTCTGTCTCTGTTTTCTATTTGAATGTTTGCCTGATGGAATTGTTTGATATATCCTGTATATGTGTGTAGGATTGGCTGATCATCTATTTATGGGCGTACCTGATCACTTGTCAGGTGTGTGTGTTTGCCTAATTTATCTATCCTGTATGTGCTTGCCTAATCTGGTGTGTGTGTGTGTGTACTCACCTATTTGTGCTTGCGGGGGTTGAGCTCTGGCTGTTTGGTCCCGCCTCTCAACTGTCAATCAACTGGTGTACAGATTCCTGAGCTTACTGGGCTCTATCATATCTACATTTGAAACTGTGTATGGAGTCAGCCTCCACTACATCACTGCCTAATACATTCCATCTGTTAACTACCCTAACACTGAAAAAGTTCTTTCTAACGTCCCTGTGGCTCATTTGGGTACTCAGTTTCCACCTGTGTCCCCTTGTTAGCGTACCACCCGTATTAAACAGTTTATCTTTATCTACCCTGTCAATTCCTCTGAGAATTTTGTTGGTAGTGATCATGTCTTCCAGTGTCGTGAGGTGCATTTCAGGCAGCCTTTCCTCGTAACTCATGCCTCTTAGTTCTGGGACTTGCCTAGTGACATACCTCTGAACTTTTTCAAGCTTCGTTGGGAGAAGCTGGAAAAGTTTGTTTCATGGGAGAAGTTATTTGCATCCCTTATCCAATGGAGTACTTTCCCTCTCACTCCTGCCTGCATCTCCAGCTATCGCACTAGTCTCTGATGTGGTACTGTGTCAAAGGCTTTCTGGCAATCTAAAAATATGCAGTCTTCCCACCCCTCTCTTTCCTGCCTGATTCTTGTTGCTTGATCGTAGAATTCAATTAATCTTGTGAGGCATGACTTGCCATCCCTGAAACTATGTTGGTGTCGTGACACAAAGTTCCCTCGCTCCAGATGTTCCACTAGCTTTTTTCGCACAATTTTCTCCAATAACTTGCATGGTATGCAAGTTAGGGACACTGACCTGTAGTTCAGTGTCTCCTGTCTATCCTGTGTGTACTCACCTATACTCACCTATATGTGCTTGCAGGAACGAGCATTGACTCTTGGATCCCGCCTTTCTAGCTATCGGTTGTTTACAGCAATGACTCCTGTCCCATTTCCCTATCATACCTAGTTTTAAAAGTATGAATAGTATTTGGTTCCACAACCTGTTCCCCAAGTGCATTCCATTTTTCTACTACTCTCACGCTAAAAGAAAACTTCCTAACATCTCTGTGACTCATCTGAGTTTCCAGTTTCCACCCATGTCCCCTCGTTCTGTTATTATTACGTGTGAACATTTCATCTATTTCCACTTTGTCAATTCCCCTGAGTATTTTATATGTCCCTATCATATCTCCTCTCTCCCTTCTTTTCTCTAGTGTCGTAACTAGAGTGTGTGTATGTGTGTGTGTGTGTGTGTGTGTGTGTGTGTGTGTGTGTGTGTGTGTGTGTGTGTGTGTGTGTGTGTGTGTGTGTGTGTGTGTGTACTCACCTAGTTGTACTCACCTAGTTGTGTTTGCGGGGGTTGAGCTCTGGCTCTTTGGTCCCGCCTCTCAACCGTCAATCAACAGGTGTACAGATTCCTGAGTGACTGTGTGTGTGTGTGTGCGTGCGTGCGTGTGTGCGTGCGTGCGTGCGTGCGTGCTTGCCTGACGTCTCTGTAATCCACAGTGGATACTGAACATATATATATCCTGAGGTTTTTATCAAACGTATCGGTAAGATTATTTGCCCCATGAAACAAACTTTTCCCAATATCAAAGAATGACAATATTCTACCCTAATATACAGACGAAGTGTCAGAAAAATGTCCCGTTGACACGGGGAAGAGAGATGACGGCACGAATCAAAATACTGAGGCGTTCACGTGGAGGACAGCAGCATAGCACAATTAGAGTTACGCATTTGTTATCCAGTATTACTAGCAGTATTATTTATTCCACTTCTTCTAAGTAATATATTTTTGTCATCATAATTCTACTTATTAAAATATATGGAAAATGTAAAATGGCATTTAGAATAAATCTAAAAAGGTTACTACAGTTAGCAGTATATATTATGATATATATATATATATATATATATATATATATATATATATATATATATATATATATATATATATATATATATATATATATATATATATGACTGAAAACTCACACCCCAGAAGTCCTGGAGACCATTCAGGCTTATTCGTATATATATATATATATATATATATATATATATATATATATATATATATATATATATATATATATATATATATATATATATATATATATATTTTATATCCAGTGTTGCATCAAAACTTGAATGAAAGTAAGTTATAATAAACTAATTGTATTTATGTAAATATATAATGGAAGAGATTATGATAGTGTTTAAAAGAGCGTTTAACACAACTACATTATTGAGAGCCCAGTTGGAGGCTCTATATTTCAATTATTATTATTATTATTATTTTGAAAGGAAGGTAATTTAGCATGATAGTCATCACATAGTGTTTAAAGGATGCATTCATGTAAAAAAAATGATCGGGTTTGATTTATTTACAGATTGTATAATCAACATTTTTTGAATGTAATACAGTAGATTTAAAAATAACTAAAATATAATTTTGTTTAAACTTGGCCTTATTTTGTTAATATGCAGTAATATTCATAACAGTTTGTTGAGTAAAAAATGTGTAGCGTAGGTGTAGCTAAACTCACTAAAGCACTCAAGGAACTTTATAGCAACTGTCTCATAGCCACCATAATGCATTCGTAGGCCTTGTATTGCATCACAACACACTACTGGATAAAATGATGCCTTTCAGTGATGAGTATTTGGAGTTGACCCCCACCACCATGCCTTCCCCCTCAGTGCCTGGCGCTGTCACCGGCCTCTGGATACAAATATCTTTATCCTCTCAAACCAATGATGTTGTTAATGATATTTTTATGAATATAGTGAATGTACATACTGTGTAGAGATTATATAACTTGTGTATATATAATATATAATCTAATCGATAATAAACTTTGACGAAGACTGTTTTTGTTTTTTTGTTTTTACTTGGATTGTTTCATAATTTATATTGTTTTAGCAGCTAAGAGATATGGCAAGAAGCTGTGTCCGAAACCAATATGCAATGGCTAAGGCTTGGACCACCAAGCTTCTGTGACCTTTCTTTGCCAACCGGATCCTACGCCTAGATTTTGGGTTCGCTCTCCGTGGCGAAGGGAGTCAGGGATCATAAATCAAGCAGCCCATCAACACAATATTTGGACTTAAAGAGTCCACGTAGCCATGAACGAGGCTATGGCTTGAAACATGGTTTGTTTACCTTTAGCCTGAAGTGGAAATACTCCATAAATTAACATTACCGAAACACCTTACTTGACCTAACATAATCCTAACTATACACAAACCCACATTATGTAATAGTATTAATGTATATTTCCGAAATAAACGTTTGTTGTTATACTGTACGGAAGATACTGTATATCCTGTCAGTTGGTTGTCTGTTGCATAAGTAAAATAAAATTGTTAAGTAAACGCTAGGTTAATATTTGAGTTATTGCTTGGGCTGAAGAATGGGTTGAAATAAATATTAAACCTCTCAGAAATTATAAGGATAAGGAAACAAGCGACCTCTTGGTCAAGACAGTAACCGCCGCCGCCGCCAGCAGGTGGCGGGCCAGGTCACCAGGTGCTGACACGCGTCAGTCGTCCGCTGGGTGTGGTGGGGGGCACGTCGCTTGTCCGGCGTCCTGCTCCAGGTGAGTAGAGTTGGCTTTTCCCGAAACTTCCATTCCACCGGGAGCTGCTACTCTGTTTATTTTTGACAGTTTAGAATTGTTCGTGATCCCTCCCACTTTGCGTGTTGCTGTAAAGTAAATAATTCCGTTCCTACCGTAGCTAGGATCGTCTCTCCCTGCATGGGTCAGCTCGCGTCTCCACCTCACCAGAGAAACATTTTTTTTCCAATGGGTCGTAACTTTTCTTCACCGAGTTTGATTACTCCTCGAGTGGATTCCCTTCCAGGCATTGCACGATAGTTTATTCATCCCATCGAAACATGTTATGGAAGAGAACGCACGTTCGTTTATTTTGGGACACATTTTAATCTTTAATGCACATGATGTAACCCATAGCTTATGTACAGTGTTCATCAACACTTTAAAACACTAGTCTATCCGACTTCCCAGCTCGTAATGGGTCTTTAAGACATTGCACTTTGGCTAAGTGCCTGCCTGCACGGTGTACGTAAGGAATTTCTCCCACTTTCTTGCACATCTACTCTATTCTACTTAGGCAGCCGACTCATCTGCTCATCTTAGAGGGTGTAGTGACCGCTGCACTTGTCTCCGCCAAATTTATCTTCCTCTTCACTATACTCTATTGGGCTCCCAACAAGTCATTCATGTAACTGGCACACTTGTGTATTCATTGTCATGGCAGCCCTTAGTTGTTCGTGGCGTGCCACTATCACTATAATATAGTATGTATTTTGCACTTTTAGTATGTACTTTTGCACTTCAATTTTTAGGAAGTTGTTGAAATTAAAACTGCCAACATGTATTAAAATGTTTGATTTGCAGATGTTTATCTTCATCATGACAGTGGTTTTAAAACTGACAGGCTAAATACTTTACTTTGGTAAACTGTATAGCACTCGCCTCCTTGCCAGTGATATAGTTTTATCGGGGGAAAGCGCCAAGTCATTATGACTATATAAGCCATGTATCGACAATGGCTTGATGCTTATTTCTGATGGATCTCTTACCCTTATGGACCAGCTTAAATTACTACATTGAAGTGATGCAGTAAAAACTTTAACTGAGCACTTGTTTTCAACTAACTGATTATCCGTGTTTAACTATAGAGCTGTCATAAACTAGTTAGCATTAAACATTGCGCTACATAAAGGTGCATGGAGTGAGAAAGTGGAAGTTCAAACTTTTTAATGTACTGAATAATGGCTCCCATTATGCGACCCGTCCTCTCTAATAGTACATCGCATTTAGACGTATAAACCGGGGGGGGGGGGGGGGGGGGGGTTATACAACCCCCCCTCTCCCCCCGAAGGCTAGAAATTGATAACCCGTTTTCTTTTAATGAATTCTCGGTTAGGTTTGATTTAGGCAGTTTAGCACACCAGTTTAGTGACGCTGTGAACGCTGTAGAGGACAGGCTGCTTGTTCACCCAAATATTGACACTATAACCTCAAATAAGATGGCACCGTTATTCCCTCCCCAGTAACCCAGGTCATGCCTCAAGGG